CTTCGATTTTGGTTAAGGTAGATTATCATTTACAGTGTAATCAGTGAGGGGATTCTGCAGACTGTTGAGGGTTCAGCCTCCTGATGAGTCGGTGAAACTCCGACGAAACAGTTTGTCACAGCCCCTTGTTTGTTGTCTTCTTCTCTCTCTCTGCCTACGGTTTACCGGGCAGTTCTGTTTGTGATGATATATATATTGTTTGTGACGATATATATATTGTTTGTGATGATATATATATATATATATATTGTCACATTCCCTCGTTTGTTGTCCTCTTCTCGCTCTCTGCCTACGATTTACCGGGCAGTTCTGTTTGTGACGATGTATGCTACGACTTCGCTAGCTTCCTGCTACGGTCTTTTCCGGTCAGGTTGAGCGGAAGTGGTCGGGGCTGTTACTAGGCGGCCATGTTGTGCCTCTAGTGCCAGCGGCATGTCTGGAGTGTATTTTTTGGCTGTGACAGACCTTTCTTTGTTTCGTGGATGTTTTGCTGGCTTGTGATGGGGCGTGAACCAACAGTCTGTAGAGTTTTCCATCTGGTGTGGGTGAGTGATAGTCTATTTTGATTTTGGTTAAGGTAGATTATCACTTACAGTGTAATCAGTGAGGGGATTCTGCAGACTGTTAAGGATCCAGCCTCCTGATGAGTCGGTGAAACTCCGACGAAACAGTTTGTCACAGCCCCTCGTTTGTTGTCCTCTTCTCTCTCTTTGCCTACGGTTTACCGAGCAGTTCTGTTTGTGACGATATATGCTACGACTTCGCTAGCTTCCTGCTACGGTCTTTTCCGGTCAGGTTGAGCGGCAGTGGTCGGGGCCGTTACTAGGCGGCCATGTTGTGCCTCTAGTGCCAGCGGCGTGTCTGGAGTGTATTTTTTGGCTGTGACAGACCTTTCTTTGTTTCGTGAATGTTTTGATGGCTTGTGATGGGGTGTGAACTGACAGTCTGTAGAGTTTTCCATCTGGTGTGGGTGAGTGATAATCTACTTTGATTTTGGTTAAGGTAGATTATCACTTACAGTGTAATATGTGAGGGGATTCTGCAGACTGTTGAGGGTTCAGCCTCCTAATGAGTCGGTGAAACTCCGACGAAATAGTTTGTCACAGCCCCTCCGCAACAGCCGTTTGTTGCGCTTGGACAAGAATGTCCTCCTCGTCAGAGCCCAAGTCATCATTCTCACCTTCGTCGTGGACCGAATGTGTTTTGCGCAAGCGGGCACGCCACTCCCCCAACCACAGGCGTGCATTTGACGCCATCTCATCTCGTGTGAGATCTTCCACCGGCTCATCCTCTTCCCACTTCGCCGCATCGTCAACCGTCGGTTTCTTGGTCAAGAAGTCCAACAAGTGCTGGTTCCATCTGTTGAAAACCAGCGTGCTGAGCTTGACGGCGCCAAGATTGTTGCGGAGACGGCTATGAATCCGTTCGAACAAGCTCCAATTCCTCTCGCAACTAGAGGAGGAGGAGCCTTGTCCAAGGAGCCGAACGGCTTGCTTTTGGAGGATGGGCATGTCGCTGCACCACTTCCGCCACCACCTCGCCGGCTGCATCGTATGGGCATGTGTCCTTGCATTTTCGGTAGTGTGCCTCCCGGTGCCCTCGATTCAAGAACAGACCTCCACGTCGACCTCCCTATACGCAGCCTCCTTGCACCACGAGTAAAGCCATGTCCAAAACACGTCCACAATCTCTGCATCGGATTCCGGCCGCGACGCTCTGTAATCCGGATCCAAAAACAGCGCAGCACAATGCAGTGGTGAAGTCATTGTATTCCAGCGCCGCATTATTATAGCCTCTAGCTCATCCTTTTCTGCTTCCGTAAAGTGCTTGCTCTCCCTCAGTTTCTCCACAGCGCTGTCCATACGGGCGTACACCTTACTGATGGTGGGACGCGTGCCGTTGACCATCTTAAGAAGCTTGAGGAGGTTCTTGGACGTTTGCATCAGCTTCTCGATATCTGCCCAGAAGGTGTCGTCGAAGATGGCATGTGTAACCCTCACAAACAGTTCGTGTTGCGAAGTGTGCACAATCGCTGGCTTCCAATCATCGTCTGTCAAACACGCTCGCAGAGGCAAGTACAACCCCTGCAGGCTCGACAACATGACGAAGTTCGTGGCAAACCGGGTCGCACCCGGTTTTGCCACGACGCTACCATTGGAGTAGTGGAGGAGGAGATCCCGCACCCGCGAAAGGTTCGTGAAAAATTTTGCTACCTCCGACGCCCTTTTAATAACTTCGCCCACCCACGTGATCTTCGCGAAAGACTCGAAAATGAGGTTGAGCGAGTGAGCTGTGCATGGGACCGAGAAGATGTGCGGATGATCCGCTTCCACCATTCGCCCCACAGCTGCACAAACGGCAACATTGTCCATAATGACCCCCACCACTGCCTCCGCACCTATCTCCTCTATTGCCCTCCTCAGAATGCCATAGTATGTCGAGGCGCCTTTGTTGCGCCCTGACATGCACACACTTCGCCAGAAGATAGAGCCCTTCGGGAAGGAGACCATCACATTGATGTGTGGTCTCTGTCGGCAATCTGTCCAACCATCAAGCTGCATCATGCAGCCAGTGGTTGGCCACTCCTGCCGCAACTCCTCCACCCTCTTTGCGACCCTCGCCCTCGTCACTTCAACCCTCTTTGTCCTTGCACTCTCGAATTTCGCGTACCGGAATCCTTTGGGCGCATTCATGAGTGCATGCACCATTCTGTCCCAGTACTTGCTCCGCATCATATTGAATTGGATGCATTCTGCCGTCATTTCAGTCGTCCACTGTGCGCTGTGTTTGCTCGTGCGCCTTGATAACGACAACACTGTCCTCGATCGTTGTTTGACGGAGGCCGACCACACCTGTGGACGACTGGGGAGTCACATGACGGAGCCCCACCGCAGACTCCGATCGATCGACCACTCCGCCTTCTACAGTCCGCTGCTCGTTGTCATCCTCCGATGACCCCCCCTCGGCAGTCTCTCCCGTAACGACTCCCAACTCCGACCTCGCAGCCAATCTCCCCTTCACCCTCCTCGAGTACTCTTCTCTCGGCACAACACCTCGCAGGCGCTCGACATCGTATCACGAACCCTTCAAGAAATGGTCCCTTGCCCTGCTCGCTGTCTCGACCACAGGCTTGTCACAATAATTGCAGATCCGCTGTTTGTTACCCTTGTCGGCTCTGCCGCTGTCCCCCACTTCCGTGAAGTGCTTCTTCACGGCCTCACTACGGCTCTTCGTCATCCTGCAACGAAACGACGCAAGCGGAAGGAACAATGCTGGTTAAAGCCAGTTCATTCAACAACCCTCAATGCTCTCGCTCCCTCAACACTCTCCCTCGTCCACTCTCTATCCGCATCCACCGGTTTGCTCACTGAAAACAATTAAGCAAACCATTACCCCCTATCTCCCCGACAACAGCGGAGTGCAAACGATCAACAACAAGAAAAATCAATCAATCAATCAATCAATCAATCAATCAATCAATCAATCAATCAATCAACCAATCTCCCCGAACCTCTCCCCCGAAAGTTCGAAAGATAGGAGCACGGCAACAGTTCACCACAAAAGACCGACAACAACAACAACAACAACAACAACAACAACAACAACAATCAATCAATCAATCAATCAATCAATCAATCTCCCCGAACCTCCCTTCCCCCCATCTTTCCCTCTTCCTCCCTATCTCCCCGAGCCTCCCACCATCCCTTGTCTCCCCGAACCTCAGTCCTAACACCGCGGGTCTTCCCCCTCCCTCCCCAAACCTCCTCCCAGACCTCCCCCCCGGAAAGTTCGAAAGATAGGAGCACGACAACAGTACACCACAAAAGACCGACAACAACAACAACAACAACAACAACAACAATCAGTCAATCAATCAATCAATCAATCAATCAATCAATCAATCAATCAATCAATCTCCCCGAACCTCCCTTCCCCCCATCTTTCCCTCTTCCCCCCTATCTCCCCGAGCCTCCCACCCTCCCTTGTCTC